AGATGATTAAATCATAGATTATATATAGCTTTCTCTTTTTTTCATGTGGTGATATTGGATGCCCTATCTTCCCCAATGTTTGTGAGGACACTAAAGGGTTTGACTGGCAAAAAAGTTTGTGAATCCCTACCCTATGTACAGGTGCATCTCAATAAATTAGAATGTCGTGGAAAAGTTCATTTATTTCAGTATTTACTAAAACTCAAACTACTGTTGTACTGTTTTTTTTAATCCTCAGTTTAGCATGCTCTCAACACCATGTACAGTGCATGCTTCTCATGAATTCCTGGAATTGGTCGACACATTTGTCACAGTGCAGAAGCATAGGATTCAAGACTGTGTCCAAAACTCTAATGGCTCTGTAGTCTTCACGCTGCATTCAGAATGAAATGTGTTTCCTTTGATTTGAGTGTTGTGAAAAGAACAGCTCTTATCAGATCTGCTCGCTCATTTCACAATGGATTCTCTGTATGAATGCATTTGAGTTTTGTTTTAGGCTATTGAAGAATGAAAGGTTTTGCCTAAAAAAAAAAAATGTTTCCTCTCTCAGTAAAAGAGCCAGCAGGGGAAATATCCTAATCTTGCATTGTTTTTGCAAAGCTCAGTCGTAAGTCATAGGAAGAATCTACAAATGGCTTGAAGTCAGTTAATGTTTTCTTTCTGATTTATGTAGAAGTGTAATCAAATACGCCTTTACCCTCTAAGGATTTTTGTGTCCCATAATGCTGTTTTGGAGCAGGTGGGCTGCGCAACTGAAAGGAATGTAGAGTAATCAATTAGCTTGAGTTCGAGGGAAATGCATCTCACCCTTAGATTTTCTTTCTCAGTATTTTACTCACTCTTTTCTTTCCCTGCTCTTCTTTCTCTACCTCATACCAGGCATAACATTATATTTGTTACGATGGCCCCATCAAAGATTTGTGGCTTTACTGAACGCCAGTTTCATCTGAGGGAAGTGTGAATTTGCGGTTGGCTTCTGTGAACAGACAGCTTCTCATATGTAGTGCATTTTATTGTAAAAAGTTGATGTTCGATTGCATAATGTGGAATCTGTCTCTCTTCCAGTCATTGTGACCCGTTCCTCTCGTTTCTGTCCCTGTCCTGGAAACAGACGTTCTCGACAAAGAATGTTGTTGCATGTCATTACACAACATGTTGAGTTTGGTTCATGTTGTGGGTGGCCCAGGACCTCGAGTAGTGTTGAAGTTAGCAGATTCTGGAGAACCAAACTGTAATTAGGTGTTGTATACTTTTGAGGAGTCAACAGTGAGTGAAAAAGACTCAGGAGCTTCAGAACTTGAGTGTAGTCTCCTGTTTTGTGCTACAGTGACTGATATCTCACTTCCTTTTATCAACCAGGGTCAACCCAAAAGAGCAAACAATTTAGGAATTATTAGTAATAATATCGGTCTATGAATGTTGTTCCAGTTGGAAATTATAAACACAAGAGCTGGCTGATTACACCTACTGAGAGCCTTAGTCTGTGCTGATGTAGCTTAAAGCTTTCTTTCTTTATTTCTTTCTTCCAAAAAAAATTTAGTTGACTTCCACTTTGTTGTAGCTTTCAAATCTCATTTGTTTTTGCATATACTCAGACTTAATTTTTGGGTGAACTATGCCTTTTTCTTTTTCCCATCAAGCAAATAAATGTAATGTTCCTCTTGTCAAACAAGTACCAGTCCCAAAATGTGGTTTTGTGGCTAACCAACTTTAAAAGAGGTAGTTCAGATAGATCAACATTACTGGTTGAGGTAGGATAGTGAAACAGAAACAGTCTGTGTTGGTTTAAGGTTAGTATTTACTGATCATATGAAGAGGTCTGCATTAATTTGTGTTTGGAATTGGTTTACTCTGGAGCTCTAGTTGCAGACAGAGATATAGCTTTGGGAGTTTTAAATGTTTGGCTTTTTGGGCTGGACAGCAGAGTTTGGGTGGTGCTGTTTGTGTGCTCAAGCAGTGATTCATGTCGCGAAACAAGACTCATTCCCTCTATTCTTTTTAAGAGCTCTCAGCTCATGTGGAGCTACATTCAAGTAAGAGGCAAACATCTTCTGTCCTCTACATCCTCTTACAGATACAGACAGATGAAGCATGAGCTTTGAATTAGTCCATCAGTTAAATGCCCAGCTGGAAGCAGCAGACCCACACTCACTCACTTTTAAAGCAGAGGATTGCAGCATTACCTCACCGGAGGCCAGGAATGTGTGAAATGATAATAAGAATATGGGAGGCATGTGCTATACAGATGGAGCTGAACTAATTCAGATCAAAGGCCACTACTGCTCAGTTTAAGCCTGAAGATAGACGATAGATTGATGGCCTGTTCCTCATGTATATCATATGTATTATATATCTTCAGCCCTGCTCCTGGGGACCCACTGTCCTGTAGAGTCTAGCGACAACCTTAATCAAGCACGTCTGAACCGGTTAATCAAGGTCTTCAGGATGGGTTGAAAAATTACAGGGTGGGTGACCTGATGTAGGTTGGAAATTAACTTTGCCAGTGGGTCCCCAGGAACAAAGGTTGAAGATATTAAATGTATACATTGAAATATGCTTGTTATATATCAATATATATTTTAAGCTATATTTTTTTTCTTTCCTTAGTTGCTGTTACTAAATTGCAGGTTTGAGTTAGTTAAAATGTATTTTTATATTCCTATAAATAAAAAAAGTGGTTTCCTCCATGAATCCCCTTTTTTCTTGATTTCTTTTTCTTGAGCCTTTGCTTTCTATATAATACAATTATCTAAAGTTATGAGACCAGTTTAAGATTGGATTAAGTTCTTGGATGAAGGTTTTGGCCCTTCCACCCATCACTCAGAGCTAACCACAGCCTCTGGCCTGTCATTACCATCCCAACTAGGGATGCACCGACACTGAGCTCCTGTACTCGTACTCGTTAAAATGCCCCGATACCAAACGCCAATACCATACATTCTGACTCAATTTAACTGAGTTCTTGTTATATTTTATTACCGTTTTCTAAACTGTAGTGAATAAACTGTGATAATGTGAGAAATGTTGAAGGTAACTGAATGCATTTTGGTTTGACTGTATCTATTTGATAAATGAAGTTAACCAACTAACATTATACATACTCTTTTGGTTTCTGTACCCAATATTTAAAAAATTTACAAATGCAATAAAATATTGGTATCGGCAAGTACCAAAAATAAAAGTATCGGTATCGGGCGAGTACTGGAAAAAGTGGTATCGGTGCATCCCTAATCCCAACCAACACTATGTACTTGAAAAAGCTTGGCTAATGGCAAAAGAAAAAAGCCTGTGGCCTAGTTGCTGTTGTAAAGTTTTCATTTAGTCTTAGTTCAGCTGTTCTATCTCTCTTTATCAAGTATCCTAAAGGAAGGACGATGTGACTTACGCATCTAACAACAAATCTCACATATTCACATCATGTTTTGTCTAAAAGCTGGAGGTGCTCTGCAGGCCAGCAGATCGGAATGCAAAAGCTGGAATTTCTCATAGAGAGCAGCGTTCCATTGGGAGTCTCAGTATTCTGAGATCATCTGTTTGGAGCTTTGTTGGAACGGATTGGTTAAGAGGCATTTTGTGGAGAACGAGAAAACCTTTTACATTTAACCCTGTGAATATTATTTATAAGACATTGTTTATTTATAACTCAAACTACACTCTAAAAATGAGTTTTCAAAGATCTCAACAGCATTATCATGAGTTGTATGTCCTTAGCCTGAAGTGATTTTTATTGTCGCTTACAAGCGCAGCCAATGTCTGTAATACGCACCAGTTTTACCAGTGGGTGTGTTTGAGGCCCTGGCCTTCCTACCTCTGGCCCGTACACACAATGACAGGATATATGTGTTTTTCAGCATGGTCCTGAGCAGGAAGAAGGCCTTTGTGTTTGACTTTTCATTCAACAGGACTTTAAAGGGCATGTAGTACAGCAATATGAAAGATCCAGCCTAGCCTAGAACTTAGATACAACAAACATGCTCTTAAATATAACAAACTCTTCCATTTAGGAACAGAAACTATGCCACCTGCAGCTGCTGGGGTATTAATAGTTTTCTAAAGAAGTTGAAAGAAGTTAATCTCTAGTTTTGCGTAAAGGACATTCTTATTGTATGTGCTTTTTTGCAGCAGTCTGAGGTCATTTGCTGTACGTGTATGTCACGAGCTTGTAGAAAAATAGGATACACCCACACTCACTCACGCTGAAGTCAGAGCCAGGCAGCACCACAGTTGAATATGTGCACTCACAACAAGACAGCTGCAAAGGTCAGAGAAGGTCATAAGGGCTGGGCAGTAAGAGAGGCCTTCTGCGCTTGTGTGTGTTGTTTATAAATGTGTTGCACAGAAAATGCCACCCATACGTAAAAACTTATACTCACTTGTCTTGTAAAAATGTTCTCTGGCCCCACCACTAAAAAAAACTTGCTTAACTTGGTTGTAAAAAAATTTTATTTAATTTTATATGAATTGATTATAAATTAAAAAAAATTCTGGAAAATCATGCCACTCAATGGTCCATCCTTGGCCCATATACGTGGCACAAGAAACTCGTCTCAACAAACTGACAACTTCTCTGTAAACCAGTAGCATGGAAATGATAACCCCACAAATTCACAAAAGCCCAGCAAAAATCCTGTGGTCTCAGCCCAGAGTATGAGTATTCGTGTGGAGTGAAAATAATGGAATGTGAGGGTTAGATGTTTAGTTCAGCTTGTGTGTGACTGTTTGCTTCGTCAGAGCAGATGTGTGCAATGTGTTCCGAGTGTGTTAAGTCCTTTTTGCCTGGCGCCATTCTTGCGACTTTAATTAAAATCGTGTGCCAGTGACAAGTTTTTAATGAAGCTCTCCTACAGCTCCACTCGTGTTTGTTTGTGTTTCTGAGACTGAGGGGAGGGAGGCTTATTAATGAGATGGAATTTAATTGTAAAGTATCAGATTAAAATTCCCTGTCTTTTTTAAATGAAAAACCATCAAAGCTTTTCTCATTCATATCTCTGTTTGTGTAGGATGGCTCTCTGGGTAATATAGATGACCTGGCACAAGAGTACTCCGAGTACTACAACACATACTTCAGCGACGTCAGCGATCGGATGGAGGAACTTCGTAAGCGGCAAGTGTCTCAAGAGCTAGACATGGTAAGTTCAGCCTCAAACGCTTATAGCATATACAGCCTGAATTGTACACCTGCATTTCTACAGCTGTGGATGTGTTTGTTTTCTAGAATGACCAACAATGTCATTAAATCACCTTGTCACCAGATAATTCTTAAGAATTGTTTATACATACTTTCACCATGGATTTAATTAATCTTGGCATGTTTACTGCCTTGGCATTTAAACCAGACGAGTTAATCTGGCAGTCTTTAGCACTGTGAAACACGTTTTTGGGTCAGGTGGAATTTGCGAGTTTTTTCTTATTTAAAAAGTTTTAGCCTTTTAGTCACATGGTCAGCTATCATATCAGCCACTGCATCATAAACAAAAAAATGCTGAGTATGCCTTTAACCTGAAACACTTTCTGCAGAAGTTCTGTTTTGCTTTTCTGAAAAGCATTTAGTTTCAATTCTTAAAAATTATCTAATTTATAGTTTTTGATTATGGGGTAAAACAAGTTGGTAAAACAAACTTCACTCTCTGACCTACATACTGTTTTATACACTTGAGTTTGGCCTTAATAAATAAGGAAATTGAATGCTAAAGCTATTAACACTGTATGGCCTACTTGTTATTGCAGTAACAGTTGTTTTAGTCATAAACCAGTGCAATAGTTTCCCTTCCATCTATGTTCCAGGGACAGTGAACCACAAGCACAGCTAATCACAAAATTCACTTATTTCTTTCATCACTTGGTGCTACAGAATGGCCATTGTAAACCTATGAGCTAATAGAAGGAAACGCTTGTCTTAAACCATTACAAAATGAAGACAAATGCGTTCACCCCCTGCCCTCTCTCCATACGTGTTTGGATTGTCTGCGGTTCTGTCAGTGCTCTGCGTTTCTCGTCTGCATCTCAAAGCGTCTATGTTCTCAGGGATGTAGGGTAGTGGGCCACCCAGGGTTGCTAAGAAACCACCGGACTCATTATAACATGCAGCTGGGATTGGCACGGTCCAGTGAGGGGATTTTGAGAGAAAGAAAGAAAACATTCTGAAAGTCATGCTCAGCTGTGGTGCTGGCCTCACACACAGGAACCAGTCATTCTCAAGGTTTGGAGAACATTAGGTACGCTATTGTGTTGAATTGTTTCAATGGATTTTCTCTCGGAATTCTGGAATGAACGGTACAGAATTCCACTGTGCACCACTGTCTAGAATCTCTACACCAAATCACTGCTACTGCAAAGAACTAGCATTGCCTTTACTGTAAAACATCCCAAAATAGCTTATTTCGATCTACTCAGTCTCTTTTTAAACAAAAGATGACCAATGACAGAATTATCTTTTTTAGGTGAACTGTTCCTTTATATGTTCTTTTCTCCATTTTCTCCATCTCATCAAATCCAGTATCCAACTCCACACCCTGCTCTGTGTAAACTGTACTAAAGCTAAAGCTGGTTAATACAGGGCTGAGCACAGCACAAAACCTGGCTGTACCGTCCCACCTAAATCAGCACTGTGACTCAGCTGTGCTTGTTTAGTAATCTGGATTCATGCCTCTTCAATGCTAGGGTTCTTTCAGGGTGCGCTTTATGAATATTGAACACTTTTTAAGTTTATCTTTACTTTAATGCCATATCTCTGCCCCTTTAATTAGCACAAACTTAAGATAGCCACCAACAAAGGCAAGATAAAGCCCATGCAGTGGGAGTCAGATCTCACAATGAGTTGAGTGCAAAAATAGGTCTCCCCTTTCGGAAAATGTCAGTGTGATGCATCAAAGGACTTTGTGATAAATCCCAAGCAGAGGGTGATGACTGTCAAAGGAGGGTTTGGTCTGAGGCTAATGGGGCAGGAGGAAGTGTCAAGTGGGCCAAGTAGGTCATCTCTTTATGTATTTAGTGTTGCTGTTCTTGTGCCATTCTCAGGAGTATCATGGAAAGCAAATGGGGACATTTGAGTAACTGCTGGATGGGAGCGATTCGGTTCATGGGAAGACGAATGATATGGATAACTGTGGGAATTTTCTAGGAGGTGTTTTGCATTCCATGTGCAAGTGAGGGAAAAACATGCTTGTTTTGGGGCTCTGCAGGTCTACACAAGTTGAACTTGTTCGTTTAGTTACGCAGATGGTTTTGAAAACTTGTCATTCTTCTGCCACATCTATATGCTGTTTTTATTTGTTTATTTTTTTCATTTTCATAGCACAAAATATTTTTTCATAGTTACACAGCCCTTTCTAGACACTGTCTGGGCTAAATCCATTGGGAAAGAATAGAAATTGTGAAACAGAAATGGGATACTCGTTGTCCAAGCTGAGTGGCTGCTGTCCAGTCTGAGGGCAGTAACAGGTGATTATCCTCTTCCAGATTGGTGGTTTAAAGGCCACGTTAATGGCTTGATATTTCAGCTTTGCCTTGAGAGACATGACGTTTGCATGACCTTTGAATTTTTTGGCGCTTGGAAAAGTCAAAATGCTAGTACTCCCTATCGTTGTCTTTCAGTCTTCTCTCTGTTCTTTCTGATCCTTTTCTTCCTCCTCAAATCCTCTCACTAATTTCCATAAACACTGTCACCCAGCTAACCTCTCTCCCAAAGGCACGTAACCCTGTTTTAGAGGCCAAGCTGGCAATGGGCCCTTGGCTTTCTCCCGTCAACCCAAAAGAGGGGAAAGGTCACCGGTTTAACCAGAGGCAACACTGGAGGCTATTGTGAGTGAGGCATGAATATTGTGGTCTATTCATACTTAGACAGAATGAATCTCTGAGCACATGCAGGCATCCACAGTGAAGGACATGTATCCTGAACGGCATCAAATGAGGCCCATGGTTTCCCCTTCACTGCCAGCCGACATCTTCCTTTCTAACAGAGGTGAAGTCCGTGTGCTTTTTGAAGCTGTCTGTTACTTTCTCTTCTCTATTTCTATTCTCTGGTTTAGTCTGAGGCACTCTCAAATGCCCTAGACATTCCCGAGTCCGATTTGAGGTTTGATTTCTGTTTCATTTCCTCAGATATCTCCACAGAGAGCTGACAGAGCTGGTTCAGGCTTCCACATTTGCTCAGCACTCTTCCTCTCTATCTTGTTGTGCTTTTATAAGAGCTGCCCTGATGACAAAGAGTTAGGAAAACATCCTCTACTCAGTGTGTTGAATAGATAAACCCCCCCATTTTACATAGAACAAGCTAGCCATGTTGATATTTTGTCATTTGTCTTCATAGCTGTTCATACAGAGACACTCTCCTTTATTCCATTTGCCAGACAGAATGTCTCTATCAGCCACACAATGCGACCGTGGAAAGCTGTTTTTGTTATTGGGTTTTAGCTTGAGTATCAGTTTTGAAGGCGGAATAATAACAGAAAACATCAGGCTGAATGGCTTCTCTTCTTTTTAAATTTATGTATAAGTATTAATTCATTTATATATGAATGTATTGCATATTAACTAATATATTGTTTATATAATAGCAATTTCTTCAATCAAAATGCATGTGGCTGAGCTACTGTCACACTACTGAAACTAGGCTACTTAGTAGTGGGAGTTACTCCACAACACTTGGTTGATATGGTTTGGGGAGTTCTACTTTAACATGTTAATTCTGTAATTGCTCTTAAGAGTAATTTTAGTCAAGACTCTGGCACACCCTTTGCTTTAATGATTTTAAGCTCTTCTGTCCCTCTCTTTCTCAGGCTCAGGCTTGTTGTGGTGGTTTACTCAAAGGCATGTTGTGGCATTTTGATTTAATTCCTGTTGGTGTGAAAGTAGGTTATGTTATGGAAGTGAACCTTTGTTTGAGGGGGAACCCACATACATGCACACCAATTGGCAGGTGACACACAAAAATAAGTTAAGTGTTGCCCATGTCTGTCATGACACTGACATATAATACTTACCTGTTTTAAAAGTGTTTACTCCAGCACGAGAAACAATGTTTTTCCCTCCCTCTGACTGGTATTTCCAGGTAGAAACCACACAGCTGGAATTAGAGATGCACCGATCGATCGGCCAGGGATCGGAATCGGCCGATTTTCCTCATGATCGGCCCGGATCGGTGATCGGTCGGTCAGTCTCACTTCTTTCCGATTCCGAGCCGATCCGTTTTGTTACCAGCGGCACAGGCAATAA